AAAAGTTCATGATAAAATAAATTGTTTCTCTGTTTGATTGTTGTCACTGATGGTGGTGGTTATTTCAAATGAAACGCAATAAAAATATCAAATGTGATATACCCTTGGATTGTGAATTTATCGTATTCAAAAACAAAGTTGATGGTGGCCATGCTGACGCGAAATGTTTTATCAAATAATCATTATTACATCGTCATAGTGCACTTCGAATACAATAATTTTTTTTTTAATTTTTTGATATTCTCCGAAATTACAATTCGTTTCGACGTTTCGTCAGGTATAAAAATACGGCAGACAATATCAAAGGCACTGTGGTAACGGTCGAAGTGATCAACCTTGTTGCGATATACGAAGTGAAAATGGACCTGTTTCAAGTTCAGTTCTCAGTATAAGTAGAAACGCACCGGTACCATTTTCCGTTTGGACATCGTGGCAAGGCAGACCACTTTGACCACTTTGACGCATTGCCATTGATATTGTCTGCCGCAGTAGCAGCCGAAACGTCAGGTATGAAAATCTGCAGAACACGGCTAATGAACCCGTAAACATCGTACAATTTAATAAATGGATGGTTCGAATTCCCACTATTGGCCAAACATTCCTTCAGTATTGAACAAAAGTCATTTTTTGTGGAGGAAATAATATTTTTTATTAACCATTTTGGGGATGTCACCTTTCACAAACAGATCATGTTTTTGCAGACTTTGTTTACCCTTTATGGGGTGATAATCTTGGCAAATCCTTGCTTTCAACTCATGTTCGAATTGAACTTCAGATTACTCCAGAAGAAATAGTCAAAAAAAGTTTGTTTGGCCATTCGGTAGGTCTGTCAATCCACTGATCAGGCAGTAAGTATACATGAATACTATTATTGAACAAAATCTATTTTCGTGAATAAATTCTTGAATAGATATTGAATTTATTACTTACTGTAAAACATGAAATTCGATGACAATTGCGCCCGTATAGATATTCATGAGTTTATTGTTCAATAAATTGATTGATGTAATACTGCTTTTAGTCATCAACATTGTCATTACTCAAGAAAATCTAAAACACTGAATTAAAAAACTCGTATCAAATATTAAACAAATATTCAAACCCTGGTTAATCGATTATTTCCGTAGTTGTCTGTAATTTTCAATCTTAATTTTTGAAGTTTCACTCAGTTCACCGATAATTTAAAAAATGAGGTATACCTAATCATGTGGTATATTATCGAATCGATTTCAGGAAAATAGACATTCTCTGTTTCGAATTCAAACAATGCAAGGTCGACAGTTCTTCCGTAAAGTTGTGAAACCGATTGAAACCATCCATCCGTGCGAAACATTGTGTTCGATAGACAATGTCATACAGGTTTCGGTTTTTGTAGATCAATTATCGAAGGTCATTATGAAGAAAGTGGACAATTTATTATTACTTGAAAAAACAAAATTCATTAAACAGTTTGTAATCTCTTGACAATGCAGATTTTTTCGACAGACTGAGAAACTGGCTGATACCTACTTGATGAAAAATCCACTTGGATGTATTCAAATTACACTTCTTCGTGAAATTTTCACTTGACAGTTACAAAACCATGACGTGTGTCTCACTATACAGCAGTTTCTTCAGGAGTGTTAATACTAACTAATAATTCCTACTTGGCACTTTAATACACAATACAGTGCGGCACATTTAATATGAAGGTATTCCTGTTCTTTAGTAATTTTTGAAAGCGAAGATTTGATTTTTGGTACAGACCTTCATGGGCCGCATTTTTCGCAATACTGGACCCGAGTGTCAGCCTCAAAAACACAGCCCACTACTATCCCGCGAAAAAGGCAAATTGTCAATATTTTATTTTGCGTTAGAGATACTGAAATAAGTTATTTGAAAAAATTTCTTTGAATCTATTTGACCACACATACTGAATTTCAATCCAGAATTCGGAATTTGATTTTTTTGTAATTATTATATTCAAGTCCGATTTCTTATGATTGGTTTCGAATAAAAACCTACAGAAATAGTCAAAATCAATGAAATAGATGTATTCATAATGAATATTAGATNACCATGTTCAAATTCAATTATCATATTCTCTCCACAGTTAAAGTTGAAGTACACTCCAGCAGCAGTGGAGCAGGGTCAGACGAGAACCTTTCATCATCAGACATATCCGAACGTTCGGGAGATCACGAGCACGACTACGAAGACATCTACCTAATTCGTGAAGAGAACGGCAAGGAAAACGTAGATAAAAACAACAATCGGTCGAGATCCCGAGATTCTGGTTCGCACAGCAGATCTGGTTCGGTGAGTTCTTCGAACTCTGGATGCCACGTGGTGGTGAAATCGACTTCGAATAACGAGATCAATAACAGCAGCAATCAAGATAATATCAGCACCAAGTCCAACGACTTCTTGCCGAAGACTCAGATTAAGTACGACAACGTGGAGAGAAAACAGAGCAAACAAGAACATTATGACGTAAGTACAAATGTCCCCTCCAGGCACTGGGTTTAGAATTAGTCCTTGGGGTTAAAATTAGTCCTCGAGTTTGAAATTAGTCCTTGGTATCCCTTTTCTGTTGTAATATGTCATAGTGTTATGCGATCCGCGTCCAATGATTTTGGGATACCACGCGAACTTCAAAAGTACCTCTCCTTGCATCCATTCAAGAGGCTTCATGGATGGGGACAACTCATCTCTCCTGGATTTATAGGGAAAAAGTCTTGGAATTGGGAGAAATCCGAGGAATTAATGTACTGGTATCTAGCAACTTTCATATGAAGGACTATACGACTGATGAGGTGGGACCTGATTGAATTGTCATTGAATCAGTGAACCTTCCCCATTATAAACCGTAACCACTAGTAGTTAGAGATGAGGAGAACTATTGCGCAGACAGATAACAGCTCATAATTATTTATATGAACATCACCTAACTTGAGAGAACAGTGACATCAATGTCAAGGGAATTACTTTAGTAACATTACTATACTATAACAAACTATAACTAACTGACATTACTATAGTTGTTAGTACTCATATTTTGAAATTGAATATATTTGATGAGAAAAGTTGTTTTGATAATCGGCACATAAACTTGGAAATTGATTGGTCTCATTTCTCGATCATACCCGGAAGACTAAGAAACATATGGTGTAAACCTGGAAATTTGCTCCGATCGGTTGATTTCAAAATGAGGAATTCAACATATTTAGAGTTGACAGCAGACCGATTACTGGGAGACAATACCCCTACGTATAATAATATTGTCTCACAGTTAGTCAATTACTAAGAGATGAAAAAGAAATGTTTTTAAATGAAATGAAAATAAGACGCCAAACTAGAAACATATTTGAAAGTGCAAGGAATTGTGGTGATTGGGGATGAATACAAAATATTTTTCATTGAATACAATACACCTCTGAGGTTGAAGGTTGAACAATCCCAAGTATGTCCTTTCCCAGACCCTCGACTCCATAAGATTCTGTGAAAAAAACTTCAGGTACCATTAAATATCTAAAAATACAAAATAGTACATAAAAACATAGGAAGTGGCTATAAGAAACCTTCTCTGGCTACAATCCCCCAAATTGGAAATCAAAAATCCAATACCGGAGTTCCGGACAAATTCTGAACTAGAAGTAGAAGTAGGCTTTCAATTCCATACCTCAACCTATCAGATCTGCTCGCCAATTGTCCTTATTAGATCGATATGTTAATTCGGAAGAAACTGAAAACTCCTTTCACTTCACCTCAGTCACCTGTGAGATTGTGCGAAGTTCCCTGAGACGCATCAAGAGCAACGCTTTGGGTTCTGACGGGATATCCCTCAAAATGATTAATCTCATTGACTCTTTTTTGATAAATCACTTCACCTTTCTCATAAACTTTATCATTACCAGTTGCCAATTTCCAAAATGTTGGAAGGATGGATTGGTTATCCCTCTGGCTAAGTGTAACTCACCTACTGTCCTTTCTGACCTAAGACCAATTACAATTCTACCGTATCTCTCTAAAGTAGTGGAATCGATNAATGCACGATTTGGATTTTTGAAAAATTTAACAACTATTTCTGATCAAGAAATTTTGTCTGCCAACCAAAAAAAATTCTGTTTTTCCGTTAACCAGCTGTCGCTCCCCCACGAACGACTACCTTCAGAAGTCTAAACTTGTGCGAGCTAAGGATTAACGAGGTCTTACCTTTCAACGTGTGATTCATAACACGGTTGGACGATAGCAAGTGAAAATCAATTTTTCAGAGTAGGGCTTGAACCACCGACCAATACGGCAGTCAATTCGAGTGAGTGAACAAGGCACCCACGTCGAACCGCCTAGCTACCGCCTGGTATATTATAGCATTCATATTATCGACGTGCTTTATGATATAATTCGAAATGTCATATATATACATATACATACTTAACAAAATGCACAATGGCCACAAGGCTATCTAATGTGCTCGAGCACTTCTCGAAAATATTGAATCGTGGATGATTTGAAGACACCATAATCGAGTGCATCTGTTAGAAATAGTAATCTTGTTAATTCATCTCTTTTTGCCTCTATCTTCTTTGTTCCCACAATTTCAACTTCTGAAGGTTGTGGACGAATACGAGTGAAATCTTGAGTTTAAAATAAAACCCCCTTTTAAATACAAATAACTCAATGTGAACATCTATTGATTTAATGTAGGTTTTTGTGGCCTTCCAGACCATATGACATCAAAATCAAAGTTAAATATACTTTATTGTCTATTTGCAACTTAGTTAAAAATCCAAGAAATTAACAAATACGAAAAATATAACGAAAATTGTGATGAGAAACATGATAATAGCAGCCAGCTAACGAAGTGTTAGAAGTGACAGTTCTACCAGCCGTTGGCATGGCTGGACAGGAGACTCGCATCATGCCACCAATGGAGTCAATTAAAAAGCGCAGGGCACTCCACAGAATTAGGCTCCTGAAGCCACAAAAAGTGGCTTGTTTGGATGCGGAGGTTCATAGTGTTCTAACAGAAGAGGCTGAGGCAAATCAACACCGCCGTGTATAGCGTCGTCCAATCGCTTTCCGAATCGGAAGGACGAAATCCCGGCCTTGCGGTTCGGAAGATTGAACGGCGTGTCGCAAGATGAAGGCTAAGATCACATCGACGAGATAACATGCGTCTCGTATCCAATGTGTGATGCATTACAGGGCAGCCAATAGGCCTTTCACGCCCGCAGTGCGGCAAATAGCCATCAATCTACGACGTATCCATCACACTTTAAGTCAAGGCGTACTGTTGACCACCAAACAGCACTGCCTTGATAGGATACGAATGCTAGTAGCTGCTAAGAAATCACTAGTGAGGCGTGCATCGCTTTCAACAGAGAGCTTCGACAGCCTGAGCTCAATGAACTGCGCAACCCGATAACTCCGGATGACTTTCGAAGAGCCCTTGTGGGTTCCAAAAAATTTGCTGCTCCAGGCCCAGATGGGCTGAACACTTATTGGTGGAAAAAACTACATAGCACCCACCGCCATCTGGCCAGAGTTTTCAACTCATGGCTGGACGGAGAGCAGCCGATTCCGGATTGGCTTGTCGAGGGGCGGACCGTTCTTATCCCCAAAAGCGGAATTAGAGACCGATAACATGCTTGAATTCGTGTTATAAAGTGTTTACAAGCATCTTAAATACACGAATACTCACCGCAGTTGACCGAGTGTTCGAACGGACATATGAGCAGAGAGGGTCGAAGAGAGGAGTCGCTAGATGTAAAGAGAACCTACTCATCGATAGATGTGTAACGCAGGACTCGATACAATACAAGCGTAACCTCTCTATGGTCTGGATCGATAACCGTAAGGCATTTAATACAATTTCGCCTGAGCTCATCTTGCATTTGCTCAGATGCCTTGCGGTACCCGATAAAATAGTAAGATGCATTGAACAATTAATACCACTTTGGCGAAATCGCTTCACCTAAACATCTGATCAAGCAAGAGTCCAAACAGGGTGGGTCACTTTCAGGAGGAGTGTATTTCAGGGTGATTCCCTCAGTCCCCTTCTCTTCTGCATCTCACTATTGCCATTATCCGTTGCGCCCCCGGAAACCGGAGGCACAAGGTCACCCATTTGTTTTATATGGATGATCCTAAACTTTATGCCTCTGGAGAGAAGGATCTCCATCAGTCCTTGAGGGTGGTGGAAGAGTACACGCATGCTATCGGTATGAAATTCGGGATAGACAAATGTGCAATGGTTCATCTCAAAAGAGGACGATGCGGGGACTACGGAGAGGANAATATAATAAAATAGAATAAACAAAAATATACCAGAAAATTAAAAATTCTTCATGAAATACTGAGATACAGTGTCAACAATATATTCTAGGGAATTGATATCACACAAATGTGAAATTGAAATTATTGCAAATGCTAAAGATAGGTGACTTAAAGTACAAATTGGTTCTGACCGGTCGGCTGAAAAAAGTTTTTTTACTTCTAGTTCTGAAATGGGGCACAGAAATTTATAAGAGATAACACCTCCATTGTATCCATATTGTTGTGCAGTAATTCATGCAGAAAAATTGATCCAGACAGTTTTCTGCGCAATTCAAGACTTTCAATATTGAATGTTATGGTAAGACATTCATATGGAATACCTCCATCAGGATAGATACCATAAGATTTGAAGTAAATGAACTTTAGGAAACGACGTTGAACTTTTTCAATTAATGTATTATAGCAATTGTAGAATGGAGACCATAGAACAGAGCCACATTCTAATTTTGACCTTACGTAGGCTACATAAAGAGTGAATAGGGCAGATATGTTTGAAATAGATCTGCAATTGCGAACTATAAAGCCATAAACTCTCAATGCTTCACTTACTTTCGATCTAATGTGGTTGGAGAGAGACAAATTTTAATCAAAATATACATCAAGATAATTGAGTTACTTCGTGACAGTGAAATGGTATCTACTCGATAATTGTATTCGATGACTGACATTTTCCTACTATAAGACACTACTTTACATTTGAATGCTTTGAGATATAGTTTTTTAACTTCACACCAAGTTTGTATATTTTCTAACAGTCATTGCAATGTATTACAATCTTCGATAGTTTCGACAGGTCGATATATTTTTAAATCATCTGCAAAAAATAACTTATTACAATCGACATAATTACCGAGGTCATTAATTAATAATGAAAACAGAAGTGGTGCGAGATTCGACCTCTGAGGTACTTCAGATGAAGGATTGTAATAAAAAGAATCATAGGCGTTATAAGATACAAACTCTTTGCGTTGAAGTAAGTAGGATTTATTGAAAAGTACTGCTGAATTATAAAAACCAAATTGGTGGAGTTTTTGTAGAAGGATCATGTGATCAGGTCGATCAAATGATTTAGCAATATCAGTATATATCACATCAACTTGACCGCGGCAAGTATTAGCACAAACTTCTACAGATCTGGTCATCGGAACTGTCGGGAAACAACAAAGTTGCTGCAACAAATATGATAGCCGTTCCAATCTTACTCAACTCGTTTGGAGTAGCGAAGTGGAGTCGGGAGGAGCTGTATCAACTCGACGTAAAGACTCGGAAAATGATGCATCTCTATAGGAGTTTGCATCACAAATCGTCTGTTCCACAGTTGTACTTCCCCCGACAACAGGGAGGCCGTGGACTTTTGAGTTTGGAGTGTCTACATGACAGAATGGTACTGAATACATCCTGTAAAGTCGTCAGGAGTTCGGATCCCTTTCTCTCCATGATCCGTGACCATGAGAGAACAGGAATTGGAGCATTTCTCTTTGAGGCAGCTGCCCGAGCAGCTGATGAACTCGGTATAGTTTTCGGCACTGAACGAGGTGACCAAAACTCTGTCACCGAGTTGGAACCCGTTCAGCAAAAAGCTCAGATAAAAGCCGCAGAGATCACCTTACTTCTGTGAAAACAAAAGGATGAGCCAATGCATGGGGTCTTCTTCAATAACATTGGAGACCTTNTCACATCATCACAATTCCGAAGGAAAGACCAGTTCGTGGAAAGTAGCGCATTATATAATGCAGAATAATTGGCTCGTTTGAAATTCTAATTTTTTTGGTTTTGGTTATCATTTGAGTTGAAAGTAGTTTCGCTAAAAACATTATTAAAATCAATAATTAGAGCTGGATGATGAGGCAAATCTTCAGGAACTTCTGGAACTCTCTCCCTTGTCACCTCACATTTCATATTGGAAATGAGCAGGTCCTATTCTAGTCATTCAAGATAGGCAAAAATGCTTCTCCGAACTATAAGGGATCTATCTGCTAGCAAATTCGTTACTCCCCTTCCAAGCTAAACACTTTTATGAAATTTTTGTCATTTCTGTAGGAACCAAAATCGCCACCACCAGCCGTTAACACCGAGGAAGACCCAGAAAAGACCAAACTAGGTCCCCGCCATTCGCTACCTCCCAAAACTAACACAGTTACCAGCAACTCGAAAATCCTGAAGAGAGTGACTTCGGTCCCAGCTGATTGTTCTCCACCACCCCCTCCGCCGCCACCGCTGCTCAAAAGCTTGATTCAAGGGATCGATGATGAGCCCCGAGGTGCCGAAATCGTCGAAGTTGTCGAAGAGCCCACGCTGAGGCCTTCGGACATCCTTAAGGGAATGTGCAGAAGTATGTCTGCTCTGTGTAAGTACCTTCTGTTTATTATCTTTAGTGGTTGGAAGTGATCAACCAAATAGTATAAATAATTGATGTATTTAACACTTCATAGTCAGATTTTTAATGAACAGATTCTAAGCTCAACGCGTGTCTACAATAACTTCTTCACTATAAAACAGCTATACTTTTTCAAATTAAGTTCGAGACGTTCATCCCATCAAACAGCCGTACATAGTGGAATCCTCATCTCACCGTGTAGGGAGTAGAGATATTGAAAAGTGAATGAGAAGCTGGATAAAAAAAGAGAAGCTGGAATAGTTGGGTTTCAAATAAACACGAAAAAACAGAGTAGAAAGTAGAATCAATATTCATAATACAGTAAATCATGTGAGTAGAAAAATAATCAGGAGAAATAGAAACAGGTAGAGCTACTAGAAATAGAAACAAGAAAGGAATAACAGAGTATGAACCGGAAATAATATTTTAACAAAACCATAAAAAATGAAGAATGGAAAACAAGTAGATGAAGAAACCAGCGAGAGCAAATGAGAATAAGAAGAAAAAAAGTGGAGGAAGAGAAAAACTAAGAAGGAAGTAATGAGGGAAAGACAAAAATAGGTAAAAGCATATGTCGGAAACAATATTGTATATGAAATAATAAAATTCGGAAAATAAACACATTATGTACAAGAAAAGAGATAGAAATATGTGAAAACTGCAGACTAATCATGTTTCTAAATTACATATTGGAAATTTTGGCAAATATAATAAATAAATTGAAAATTTGACAGAATAATAGATCAGGTGACAGCTAAAATGGATTCAAACCAGGAAGATCGACGATAAATTCTATACACACCTAACAAAATCATGTGAATATAACAGAGGTTTCCACTTAATATTTATAGACTTCAAATGTGCCTTATTCACCACAGACCAAATAGAATTCTGAAAGCATCGAAGAATTTTCAAACACCGAAGGAACTGAGGAAACTGATAGTGTAGTGGATAAAATAAAAGCAATAGTACTAGAACATGCTACGATAGAACAAATAATAAAGAAAAGGAATATGAATAAAAAACATTCAAATATCGAAATGATTGCATAGAGAGAAAAAACAAAAACCAGTATGATCCTAGCAATTATCGAACTAGAAACTGAAGCAAAGAAATGACGACTGCGTGTAGGTAAGTGATAAAAGAATATAAGGATATACGTGAAAAACAAGAAAACAAAAAGGGTCATTCGAAAAATGGCAACTTCAAATTTGAAAAGTATTTAATATTCAATTATTTTGCAATGTTTATAGGAGAAAATCTGGAACAGAAAGGATTCAGAAAAATATTCTANGGATTCTTGATTCTCGAGATAACTTAGTAAGAGATTGCGAATTTTCCATTAGTCCAACGTGCCCTAGAACTGCAGTTCAAATAGCTTCATCGTTGACAACTCCTGAACGGTAATGCTTTTTATTGTTAACAGATCTAGTTTCCATAAATTTGTTCAATAATTCCGAAACGTATTTGTGTCGTACATTTCTTCTTAATATTCATAGTAATTCCAATTGAACATACGGGCAGCAGCTCTAGCACTATTTTTATTCTGATAGTACAAACTCACTATTTCAATCCGTCCTCGAAGCGTATAAACCATTGCATCTCAAGAATTCACAAAAACAGATACACCAATTGTAACTTTACCTGGTAGGTAATCGTTATTGTAGAATGAGACAAATACAAAATGAAGAGAATATCGAATTCAAACTTAACTAGGCAGAATAATTTTTTTTTGAAGTATACTTCACCAAAACACCTATGAAACACATTATACAGAAGTTTATTCAGGGCAGCTCGTTTTCAACTCAAATAATGTTTAGCTTCCAAACTATAAGCTTCAGACCATAATATATTCTACTGTTGAAATCTGTTCATCATGGAACATCTGATAATGCAAAACAATTGATCTATTTAAAAAAATGATGATATGCTCTGGGGGTGCGATAGGGAAAGTAAGATCAGATGTGAATATGTGAAAATGTGTCTCCCTGTATACTATTGTTGAGGTGTTTTTTTATTTTTCCTGAAAATCATTGTTCCAGAAGTTATTCAGAGTGGCTCGTTTTCAACTCAAATAATTTGTAGCTCCCGAACCATAAGCTTTAGACCATATGTTTCATACTCTGTTGAAATCTGCTCATCATGGAGCATCTGATAATGCGAAACAATATAGGGTGATTCCTTTAAAAAATTGGTGATAGGGAAAATAACATCAAATGTGAATATGTCGAAATGTGTCCCCCTGTATACTATGGTTGACGTGTTTTTTATTTTTCCTGAAAATCTAGTACAAAAAGTTGTTCAGAGTGGCTCGTTTTAAATGGAATGCACTGTATATAAAGCCATTAAAAACAACATTCTTGGAGATTCTGGGATTTCAAATGCTAGTTTGTAACAGTATCCATCAAGATCTAGAATGAAAATTATTCATAAGTATTTCAATATCGAAATCTTTGCATGTATCTCGAGTTCTCTCTTTGAATAAGACTCTTTCAATCTTTATTAATTTTATGGTAAATATCTATTTCGGATTACATATATTTGCACTTAATTTGTAGACTCGGTAATCAATTCTCGAAAATTATGAGAAATGTACTACATTTTCTGGAAAAGTAATTAAATCATATTCCACAATACCGTTTGTAGATCACTAACACATCTAATGATGAGAAGGTTTTTAACATTAATATTCATAGTAATTCCAATTAAAGCTATAAACCGATAACTCAAGAATACCGAAATATTATAACTTTCAGCAGTAAAATTCCAATTATGATCCGACATAAATGCCCCAAATAAAATAGCCAATTAACTATTAATTTTGGCAATATGTAAATAAACATGTTAGATTCACGCAAAGTAGAGCACAGAAGATATAAAATATTTTCTCCGAAAGTGCGAAAGAGCATCTCCAATGGTGGCACAATTTCACTATGAGTAACACTTACCAACCTGAGCAGAAATAATAATTACCGATATGTAAACATAATGCAACGTCTGCTCGAAGAGTTATTATTAATTCGAATAATAAGAGAATTGAATAATGAATCATTCCCACTTTTTGCAGCCGCCCGCCGACTCAACTCCTCTTGCTCGGACTTGACCATCATTAGTCTGGACGCAGAAGAGTCTGATAAACACAGTGGTCCTAATCTGGTGAACAAACAGCGCGTGCTTCCATTTGTACCGCCATCTTTCCCCGGCAGTGCGAACACCAATAACCTCATCAAGCCATCCGAATATCTACGCAGCATTAGTGACAAACGATCATCCATTTGCTCAGTGAGGAGTCTCTCAGAAAGCGAAGACAATTGCCCCAAACTGGAAGAAACAAAGGACTCGGACATTTCAGGACCTCCTCCACCACCCTTGCCCGACTTCGCGGATATAATTTCGGCAGGGAAGCAGGAGCAAACAGCCGAAATGGTGAAGAAGCAGAACCAGCCCTTGTCTGCTATCAGCATCCAGGACTTGAATTCCGTTCAGCTCAGGAGGACGGAGAAAACTCTGGCGTCGAAAACTTTTTCGGCACCCACTAGAAGCATGAGTCTACAGTGTCTTCAGAGCGAGCCATTTTTGGCACAAAAAACGGATTTGATAGCGGAGTTGAAGATGTCGAGGGATATTACCGGGATCAAAAAGATGAAGATAGAGAAAGCGAAAACTGAAGAGAATAAGGAGAAGGAGTTGCTCTCCGAGATTTCTAAACAGTTGTCTACGACCAAGTTTGTTGAAAAGGTGAGTCACAAGTTGAATACTTTACTTTTACTACGACCATACAGGGGGGGGCTGATTGTAATGTATTATTGAATAGGATACGCCACTGTTTTTGGTTTGATATATTTTATATTTTGTTTTTATGCGTTTACAAGAAGATCGAGGAGTTATTTTTTTTGACAAACTGGTCTGAAAGGTCATTATAATATTATTCCAAGTGTGTATCTGTATGAGTAATATTCCTTGATGAATAAACCTTATTCGGGAAATGAATAGTTTTCTTTTTCCTCGAACGTACATATCACTGATGAAAACGAAACAATCTTTTTCAAAGTTTCAATTGATTTCGACGCTTATCCTTCCGTCGAAGGGGTGGAATGAACAAGGTTGAAAATATGTTTAAAAGATACTTATATTGATCTCTGAACTAAACAAATTTGGCATGAGAAGGAATATCCTCAATTGGTTTGTAAATTATAGTGATAGACAACAATATGTTTGCACAGAAAATCAAGAAAGTTCGATGAGGAAAATACATTTTGGGGTACCGCAAGGATCTATTTTATGGTTCATTCCTTTTTCTAATATATAACTCATTAACAAATGTACCTCTGAGAGAGATGAGCTGAATTAATGGCTGATGAGACAATTATACACTCTCTGGAAAGCTTTGAAAAAATTCATGATGGTATGAAAACCGACATGGAAACAATTTCAGGTTGGCTTCAAGAGAATGGATTTACTCAAAATTTTCAAAAATCTGTATATATGAATATTTCTAAAAGATTATTGAACATTTTTAGCAATCCTGTAATCATTGATAACAATTCAATAAGTCATACCAATTCTATTAACAATCTAGGATTATATCATGATGAAAATTCATCGTGGACAAAACATATCGAAAAAAAAGTAGCACCCCTCAGTGATATTCTATTAAAAATCAGAAACTACACAAGTATTTTCCTCTAAAATTTTTGAAAATATTCATTTCAGTCTTATATACTCACAACTGCATTTTCTTATTTTAATTTAAGAAATATTTACAAAAAAATATCATATACATATATAAATTATCGTACTCAGAACCAACAGTGAATATGTATGAACCATAAAATGTATTAGATTTGAAGACACTGTAAAAAAAAATGGTTGTTTCATTCATTCGATAACAAATAAATGAAAAATTTCAAATATAAATTTCATAGAAATCATTAATATTCATAATCATAACATTAGACAAAACAAATTATTATGAGTTAGTAATTTCAAATCTTATTTTGGACATAAATCGATGTATCATGATGGAATTATAATATTTAATGAAATTCCTGAATTCTAACTTCCCTCAAATTCAAAAGTCAATTGAAAAAGTATTCAATGAAATATAACAACGCAGGATTATATGATTTTTCATAAGGCCATCCATATTATATATAGATAATTTCTCATCTGACTGTTTGTTGATATTGATTATTCTAATACTCATGTTTTCTTATTCGATTATACATATATATTTTTAAATTTCCTTTTAGTTTTTAATACCTATTAACAAACTTAATTTTCTCTGCTCATATTAATCACTTATGTTTTCTTGTTCAATATTCACCTATTGATTTTGTTAAATTTATATCTTCAGTTAATTACTATTCATAAACAGTTAATGTTTTTTGGGATGAAAAGGGCGATACATCTGTATTTGAGATTTTGCTCCTCAAATTAAAAAAATGAATTATTCCTCACCTGAGTACCAACTCAGATGAGAAACCTACCCAGATCTTCAGGCCATCAATAGGAGCTGTCAATAACCTGAAAATCTGGGATTTAGTAATCGTAAGCTCAATTATGACACAAGACTTTGAATACTGTGAGTATTGAATAGGACTATTTGTATATGTGAAAGATGACATTCAGAGTATGTTTGTGTAGAAGATAGGATAGCTGAATAATAATTTACATTGTAGCCTATCAATATACCTCCAAAACATTTCAATACAAATCTAACCCCATTTATTTCGTTGAAAGAGGAAAACTATTTCAAATTCAATGTAGTACTTCTATCGGCAAGTCGCCAAGTAGGTAAAGTTATGATATAAAGGATATTTACAAAATACTAAATAAAACATCATTCCCTACATAACTGACAGAGTTTCTAGAATTTGATAAATTCGTTTGATAATTGGTCTGCATATGAAATTAATCTCAGTCAATTATTTCAATTAAAGCGTGAGTCGAATGTATTCATTTATCCAAAGTGGCACAAACATAGTAAATTAACACAATACATCATATATCATAATTTAGCCAAATTATTAAATTTTGATATTTCACATAAATAACACATAAACAGAATATACAACATTAAATTTTCAAATATTTATATGGTGAAAAAGTTGGAAAAATCGTACAATTTTTTTATTATTATTATTGTTGTTTGCATGACACCTCAGCCAAATTATTAAATTTTGGTATTTCACATAAATAACACATAAACAGGCAGAATATACAACATTAAATTTTTAAATATTTGAATGGTGAAAAAGTTTGAAAAATGGTACAATTTTTTTATTATTATTATTGTTGTTTGCATGACACCTCAGCCCAGAAATGTTGCGTTTATGTTCCAATACCGAACAGCCCATTCGAAATGTGTCCTAAATCTCATCAGGTGTACTAGGAGGGGTCATGGGTCTAACATTTTGAAGACTTCTGTTTTACTAATTACGTGATGAGGAACACGATAGAATACTTATTATAAAACAAAGTCTCCTCGCCGTATCTGCCTATCTGTCATTCTGTATGAACACGATAAACGCATACGGCTTTCACCAATAGATGGATTGATTCATAAAAACAAGGTTATCCTGACATAATTGAACAACAACTTTACATATTCTTGAATAGTTCATTGAAATCCATAATTCCCTCTTGGTCAAAATTTTTCAGCTGAATTATGTCTTAAGTTATTTGGAACTATATAGGTTTTATCAGTAAATGGAGTACTGGCCAAAATATGGGACAGTTTTTTATTGGGATTCGATGTTTAAATAACCAAATCCTTGTTGTCAATCATCTTGCACCACCTTTAAATAGGGCTATCAGTTTTTTCATTAGGATATTTATTCAATNCTCTGCTCATATTAATCACTTATGTTTTCTTGTTCAATATTCACCTATTGATTTTGTTAAATTTATATCTTCAGTAAATTACTATTCATAAACAGTTGATGTTTTTTGGGATGAAAAGGGCGATACATCTGTATTTGAGATTTTGCTCCTCAAATTAAAAAAATGAATTATTCCTCACCTGAGTACCAACTCAGATGAGAAACCTACCCAGATCTTCAGGCCATCAATAGGAGCTGTCAATAACCTGAAAATCTGGGATTTAGTAATCGTAAGCTCAATTATGACACAAGACTTTGAATACTGTGAGTATTGAATAGGACTATTTGTATATGTGAAAGATGACATTCAGAGTATGTTTGTGTAGAAGATAGGATAGCTGAATAATAATTTACATTGTAGCCTATCAATATACCTCCAAAAAATTTCAATATAAATCTAACCCCATTTATTTCGTTGAAAGAGGAAAACTATTTCAAATTCAATGTAGTACTTCTATCGGCAATTCGCCAAGTAGGTGAAGTTATAATATAGAGGATATTTACAAAATACTAAATAAAACATCATTCCCTACATAACTGACAGAGTTTCTAGAATTTGATAAATTCGTTTGATAATTGGTCTGCATATGAAATTAATCTCAGTCAATTATTTCAATTAAAGCGTGAGTCGAATGTATTCAGTTATCCAAAGTGGCACAAACATAGTAAATTAACACAATACATCATATATCATAATTTAGCCAAATTATTAAATTTTGGTATTTCACATAAATAACACATAAACAGGCAGAATATACAACATTAAATTTTTAAATATTTGAATGGTGAAAAAGTTTGAAAAATGGTACAATTTTTTTATTATTATTATTGTTGTTTGCATGACACCTCAGCCCAGAAATGTTGCGTTTATGTTCCAATACCGAACAGCCCATTCGAAATGTGTCCTAAATCTCATCAGGTGTACTAGGAGGGGTCATGGGTCTAACATTTTGAAGACTTCTGTTTTACTAATTACGTGATGAGGAAAACAACATCTATGAAATCGATAGAATACTTATTATAAAACAAAGTCTCCTCGCCGTATCTGCCTATCTGTCATTCTGTATGAACACGATAAACGCATACGGCTTTCACCAATAGATGGATTGATTCATAAAAACAAGGTTATCCTGACATAATTGAACAACAACTTTACATATTCTTGAATAGTTCATTGAAATCCATAATTCCCTCTTGGTCAAAATTTTTCAGCTGAATTATGTCTTAAGTTATTTGGAACTATATAGGTACATATTTTTAGGGGGATGTATATAGGAAATATTTTTTGCATTGTGGGGAAATGCTGTATCTGATATATCAAAGTTCAAAAACATGCACTTGCCAGATGTCACAGTTTCATATTTGTTAAATTGAAGTTGATTTCATTCGCATCATCGGCAAGGGCATGTCTTAACTTTTCTCAATGGATATTTTCTAGATAAAATTGATTTTATATACACATTTCTGCAATCCTAACCTTGGTATAACTAACAGATACCTTTTACTCGTTATGAGATTCAAGAAAAGTGTTTCTAGTGTGTCTGATTGCTTGTTCCAAACGATGTTGTTCAACTTCTAGTAATAATTTTTTTTGAAAAAATAAGCTTCAAGCATAGCTTTAATTTTGAAAGTATTTTGTTTTAGTGGAATTGATTTTTTATTTATCAGTAAACGGAGTACTGGCCAAAATATTGGGACAGTTTCTTATTGGGATTCGATGTTTAAATAACCAAATCCTTGTTGTCAATCATCTCGCACTACCTTTAAATAGGGCTATCAGTTTTTTCATTAGGATATTTTAAAGAACTGGAAGAACAGTTATTGCGACAGGCTGAAGAAAAACGTTTACAAGCCATTCCTCATTGGAAAAGGCAACTGCTGATGAAGAAAGAAGAAACAGAGCACAAGATAAGGTGAAATAAATTCCATTTCTGTTCGTGTTCGAATTGATCAGTTACTTTTAGAAAGTGCTACGTTTTTTTCTAACCTCGATATATCAATTGTTGAAGAAATAAATGATAATAATATTCAACTATTTTTCTAGGTCAACTCTCTACACCCCCAAAGTTCATGACGAACCGAAACTACACATACTCAATGATTCTGACGATCAATTGAGACAGAACGAGAAAACAGATCAGAACGACAAAGAAGATATCAATAACAATAACAACTATAACGATGAATGTATGAAATTGGAACAAGAAAGCAACTATAATGATCAATCCGACGAAGAACCTCCAAACATCATACCTTGGAGGGCTCAGCTGAGGAAAACCAATAGCAAATTGAACTTACTAGAATAGTTAATTATTTTATTTTTATTATAGGTATGTCTTATATCTTTGTAACTTCGGATATACTTCATGTGATAGAGAATTAATGGAGAACTCAAAGAAGAATCTGCTAGCTCCAACGAAATTTCTTGCTCCAGTGAAATGAAGAAAACAAGAAAAATTAGCAGAAAAAATCGAAAGGGTTTTTCATCATAACCACACTGCATATGTGCAACTTTACTGGAATGGGTGAAGGTAGTCACGAATAAGTTTTTACAGCAATATAAAAATGTTAGATTCAAGATTCACTCACTCCTTTTACCGATTTGAAAATGATATATCCCAACCTAACAACACTTTTGAATGAGCTTTGAAACTCAAGTGAAAAACTAAATGACTTTCCGTGAAAGATTTCCTAAGATTGTAGTCAGTTTGTCAAATGTCAATACACGGTTTAAAAATCTGTTTAAAATCTGTTGCTCCATTAATCAGCTGTCGCCCTCATACGAACGACAACTCTCAGAAGTTGAGAAACTTGTGCGANCAACTGTGATTACATATTTGATACATTAACTGATGAAAATTTCACCATTAAAATCCATTCGTCAAACTGATTGAAAGTTTTCAAATATCAAACGAGTCTATCCATTATTATCATTTCAATTTGTCAAACACCTCATATTGATGTATATATTTATGAAATTATTTTAGGATTATCAAGATTCTTATATAATTTTCCAGAAATGTATTCAACTCCATTGTTGTTGAATTAGAAAATTATGATCATTTCAGTCAATTATGTGATGCTATACATTGTTCAAATACAAAATATGATCGTATGCATGCATGCATTTCTTGCTCTTTGTAGTCAAAAAAGCTTCTGGGGCATGGGATTTGTACATTTTTCATGATTATATATCGTTTACCAATATCTATGAAATAAAGTATATGAATATAGTAATCTACTTTTATTTCCATTCAGGGCTACTAGAAAATGGCCCCACTGATTTATTAAATATTCCTGTGATTATTTTTATTTTGTAAACCAATGATTGACAGGATAATAGTCGTTCCTGATATTCAATGACGGTTGTATCCAAAAATCTCTCGTACATTTTACGAGCATACCTAGATAATCTTCAATTTGAAAGGTCTTTGAAATACGTACTAGAGTACAGAGGAAAAAAGTAGTTATCCAGAATACTTCACAATTTTTTTATTGGTTCGTTTCGAAATAATCATGTATTATAATTACAAAAATGAAAATGAAAATCAATAATGTCGAATTCATGATATGATATTAGTATACCTTTCTCCGTCAAGAAAATGAGAAAAATAAAAATCAATTTGCAAATATTTCTGAATGTGTTAGCACATGGAATAACTCTGTTAAGATGTCTGTCCTGATAAATTATCCGTGATTCTTCCACATTGCCATTTGCTAATCCATAAATAAAGGGCATTTCAGCGTTACTAAAATTATTCATGATTGAATCACGTGCATGTTGGGGTTGAATGATTGTAATATACTCATAAGAGCTTGTGTAGCTGCACATTTATCATTCACATAATTCATATTGAAATCTTCACCTAAGAAAACATTTGATTACTTCTGAATTTTCTACAAACAAATGCACATCAGAGGAAGGAGACCGATGTAGACAAAGTACATAAAGGTTTAGTTTTTGTAGTTACATATTTTGTAACATTTTCAGGAAGTAGCTTGCTGGCAAATTCTTCATTAGCTAAAATCATAGTGCCGCCATAACCATAACTTTTTTAATATTTGGAAAGGATCGTGTAGTTTTTCATTAAACAAGGTTTTTCATCTACAAGTTCAGTCAAAAGGAAAATATCTGGAAATCTTTTATATTCAAGTTATACAAAAGCTCATTATTCTCTGTATGGAGTATGTCGTATTTGGTGTTGAAATTGTGATTGTTCTCCAAAAGGTTGGCACGCGTAGGTGGAATTGGTCTTCTTTAGTCTTCTTTTATGTTCGAAGATTATTGTTTCAAATTTTTTTGAAGTCCTAACCATATGAACTTTTGGGCATGATACGCATGTTACTTTGCAGATACCTAATCTGTTATCCTTGTCTATGTGTGAAATGTTATTCTTTATATGAATAGCCAAGAAGTCTAATGTGCTACGTTAATATTTTGTTTATTGAGTAGTCTTTTTATTATATCTTACTATACGGGTATACATGGTGTATGGCTTCTTTGAAAAGTTTTCTATCAAGGATGTGATGAATTACATTCAGGTTGTTATTCACTGCAATTTGTTTTAGCAGATTCAATTCCTTGTTGAAATTATCTAAGAACATTGGTATACTAGTGATTATGTTTATCATATTGTGATGAGCTGCTAATTCATGTTACTATGGGTGATCAGAAGGATTGTTTATATTTGTATCTGTATGGGTTGGTTTGGGATAAATTGTGAAATCGTGTTCGTTGGTAATTTTTGTAACTGTAAAAATTAAAATGTTCATCTAATTGGTTTCTATTTCTATTGTGATTTTATTCTTTTCATAAATATAATTAATGTATTGTAATGTAGTGTTTCTGTGAAGCAGGCTATCACATCATCATCATCATACCCATAACAGTAAATACTTTTTGGAGAATGGTACGCTGTTGTATAGTTTTTTTCATAGTTGTCCATGAAAATTTCGGCTAGAAGGGGGCTTTAAGGATTACCTATTATGTGGCCTTCTTTGATGTTATATCATTAGATTCAAAATAATTTTGGTTAAGACATATTGACAATAGTGAAAGAATGTCAGAATGAATTATTAAGTCTTTATGATTTTTGAGAATCATTTCATTTATGAGTTTGTAAGAATCTTGTGAAGGAATGTTTGGAAATAAATTTGTGACATGTAAAGAAACCAATTTAGAGTCAGGTAGCAGATGAACGTTGGATATATTTTTATCAGTCCGTTATAATTTTAGGTACTAAAAATTGTTCAATCATCATTATGGATACTTTTAAACATTCTTGAGAGTGCTTTGAATGGAAGTGCAATCTTATTGACTTTCGAGGATGTTAGCTGTAATAATTTGAATGATATTTTCTCTGAATTGAAAAACCTGAGGTTTATTTTTGGGAAAGATAGTTGTTGACCTACTACTTCTAGAAAACAATTAGTTCCAAAAAAATTACGCTTTACAAAAGTGTGTAGATCATGCAAAGAAGTAACTTTCAGACATAAACTGGAGGAAAAAGCCCTTCTTTTCTTTCGAAGATTACCACATTTTTTGTTTCAACATGGAGAAGTAGAAGGCTAGAAGTAGAAGGCCAAAAATTTGTCTTTCCTGAAAGTATACCCTTTCATTTCATTTTGAGTTTATTATTTCAAACAATAACAACTGTACTTTTCATATTCTTTTGAAATAATCAAAATTGCAAACAATCGATATTGAAGTTTTTGGTTTCAGAAAGTATTTCTGACATTGAGCCTTATTTTTTTCAGTTTATAGAGAGCTCCTATGCCAAACTTACGAACTAGTAACAATTTTGTTACAGACGTTTTGCAGATTTGAATTCATCATTATTCCCTATTTTATATACAATTGAAACTCATAGTTTCATTCATAGATAACATCGAATGATGATTTTATCTGGAATATATAGATTATTTCTATGATGGCTATTCTATAGTTTTGTTATTAGTGTCAGCTCTCGTTTGAAGATGTGTGTATTATTCAGTTTTTGAGTTTTATTTCCTGTTTTCTCAAGAACAAAACACAAGCATTACAGGAAAATCCTTAGGGCACTTTCAGAGCGGTGCCTGTGCCAAAATATGATTCACATTGGATTTGAATAGCTGGAGATTAAATCCAATTGGAAAAACGTTCTAAACGTTCTCAGGAAGTTTATTTCACATAAACGTAGTTCTCCAGATGAAAGAGTTCTTAAACAGTGAAGTTCGAGGGTGTACTGAGTTGAATATCAAAACGATGAGCAGCCACAGTCTGTCGCGTATTTCTGATATGTACCGCTCTTGGTGGAATCAAATGTGTCAAGTCACTTGAATACTTCCCGTGAAATTATCTATAGAAGAGATACAAATCTCCAACCTTTCGTCGATGTTCCAGGCTATCAAGGTTGCACGTGATGTTCGCGTCTCCAATTTGGCGGATGGCTCTTTTCTGAATGGAATCTAGCAACTTCAGGGTATGATTGGGGGCAGAGCTCCATACATGAGAACAATACTCCAAAGAAGGTCTGATCTGAGCTTTATAAAGCATCAAAAGTTGCTCAAGTGTGTACAGTTTTCTGGTTCGGAACAGTGTTCCAAACTTTTGAGAACCAGCCTTTGCAATTCCAGCGACATGATTGTGCCAAAATATATTGGTGTCCATTTTAACCCCCAACAAATTTATCGAAGGAGAAAACCGATGCCTGGATTTTTGTGGCATTGAATTAAACCTAGTTACTTTCACTCCAATTCGAAGTCACGTCTAGATGCTCATTGAGATATGCAACCTCCTGCTGCCGATGAAGATGTGCCTCCGTAGCCAGCGTTGATGGTGAAATTTTTCGAGAGATATCCATCGCCGGCCACTAACAGGGAACGTTCCTTCAGCAAGCTGATAAGCCATACACAAAAATGATCTGACAAGCCATAGAATAGAAGTTTGGCCAGCAAACCCTTATGCCACACACGGTCAACGACCTTAGAAATATCAAGCGCAACAGCTCTTGATTCTCCATGTTTCTCGATTGCGTCATTGCAAATATAGGTGACATACATATGGGAGTTTGAAAGACATTTTCATTGTATTCATTTTATCGTCCATATCAATATGGATTATTTATTTTTATGAGTTGACCACTTTTGTGTAATTATATTTAAGTTTTATTTGTATTGATTTTTCTGTAATGTTTTCAATATTTATTCGAAGTAACGGCGTGAACAATTAACATTACAAATGACATTAATGATAAATAAACAGAGTAGTCAACTCCGAAAAAATACATGAGTTCCAAATGTTGATATGAATAGCTTATAAAGTGGAATATAATTTGAACTTCATAAAAATTCCTATTGGACTGCATTCAATCCATCGAGATGAGGGGTAATATTTTCAATTTTTTTTTGAAAAACCAGGTAGTAAGTCACAAGGTTTTATAGTTCAGACTCCAAACTCAGGAAAACCATTCATTTTATCTATAAGGAATTACAGCCACAATTATTCAAATATTAGATGTGTTATTTATAGTCGGCAGTTCAAGCTCAAGGCTGAACGATCAATTTCCACTTGTTATCGTCCAACCCGTGTTATGAATC